TCTCCTTCTCCTTCTCCTTCTCCTTCTCCTTCTCCTTCTCCTTCTCCTTCTCCTTCTCCTTCTCCTTCTCCTTCTCCTCCTCCTTATTATTATTATTATTATTATTATTATTATTATTATTATTATTATTATTACTATTTTGCCAAAGCAAAACACCGCATCCTTTTGGTCTGAAGAGAACTCTATTGTGCACTTTCCCCCAAATTGCTTGGCCCAGCTTTTTCATTGAGGAGAGAAACCAGTAGAACGAAGCTCAAGTTCAGCCAACTGCCAGCATTTTTCTGCTTTCTTTCCTCATAATATTTCTTACTGCCAAGCTTAGTGTGTGGGATTGGGCAGGAATCCCTGATGGCTTTCAGACCTTCAGTATGGATGATGTGCACCATATATAGAAATATCAGGGAGGGTGCTTTACTGAGACTGAAGTATAATAAATAGAGGAATTCCAGTTGAGGAGGGCATGTTTATAACTCTGCATCTGTGGTCTATCCCAGAAGCTCTCAACGGCAGTCTTTATTTATTTGTATTAATCTACCTGCTATGTTTGGCTGCCAACCACATGTCTCAGTTCTCCTCATTCTCGTATTTATGAGATTTCTCTCCTGTTCTTCAAGAGAGTCAGACTACATGACTGCTTGGTTTCGGTAGTGCTGTTGAGAGCACAGGTTACAGGGAACCAAGGTGCCAAGCTACATCTTCCTCTCGAAACTGAGAAATGCTTTGGCTAGCTGAGGATCAATTCTCCCATCTTCCCTAACATCTCAGTCATCAGAAGGATGCTATTCCAGTCATATGGTCAACAGAACAAGAATTTTAAAATAACATGGTTACCTTTTGCAGCAGCAAGCTAGCCAAAAAATCCAGGAACAATCACATTCATCACAAGCCCACCGGACCAATCTCTCTGCTCCTAGAAACAGGAATCTCAGCTAATTTTGTTGCTAAGATTCATGGTTCCTTGGTCTCTCTCCAGCTGTGTGCTTAGGAGATAACTGGATTACATGCATTTCTTTTGAAATCCAGGCGTTTTTCCACAGAGGTTGCATTATGCTCCTTTCCCTGAATGTTGTCAGCTCCAGTTTGGTCTTCTGCAAACAGAAAGACCGGTCCTACCATTAGATAAAGGAAGCTGTACATGCTAGAAGATAGCAGCAAGGAGGAGATAGCTATATGCCAAACAGCCTATCCTGGGTCTCCTAGGTTAACCTGCTGCTCTGTCCAGATACTGTCCTAACAGCTGGATTAAATAAAGAGGTAATTGCTGCTCTATCTGACTTTTCTAGATAGAACAGGAAGAACCCCTAGACTTAAGATAAAAGAATTTTCTGGCTAGATCTGTGCAGTAAGGGATTGACCAGACATGCAATGGGGGAAAAAAAGGTGATTGTGCTTCCAAGAAAAATCCCAGGGGTATCATGCATATTAAAGGTTTGTCCATCCCTCATTGAACTTGCTCATTATAACAATACTATAATCATTTGGAAAAAGCAAGCATTGAATGGTTAACAACTGCCCAAAAGCAGTGGTGAAACCCCCTAAAAGATCTCACAAAGTGTAATGAGGGCTTGTAAAAACAGCTTTGGCAGAAGCCAAGTCTCCCAATTGCTTTACTGGTGCTGCAACTTAATATCAGGGTTATGTTTGCTTTCTCAGCCATGTTGCCAAGGAGTCATGGGGAAATCTGATGCTCGGTGCTCTCTTTGAGAGCAAATGTACATGGCCTTGTGTTTGGGTAACTGGAAGAGAGATGTGTTTATAAATAGGCAAGCAGAGCTCATTCTCAAGAGTACCATGGTGCTTTGCCAGTCCTTGGTTACTTGGATCGTTAAGAATTGATTATCCAGTTGGCTTCTTTGTTCTTATTTAGAAGAGGAACCTGAGCTGGGGAATTTATCAATCACAAAAGTCCACTGGGACGGATTCTACCTCACCTGGACAGCCGCAGACGGGGCCTATGAGACTTTTGTCATACAGGTGCGGGAGTCCAACCAGCCAGAAGATACACGGAATCTCACCCTTCCAGGGACACAGCGGTCCATAGATCTTGCCGGCCTCTTGCCAAATACTCTTTACACAATCACCCTCTATGGGATAACTCGGGGCTACCAAACAAAACCCATCTTTGTTGAATCCACCACAGGTACTCTTCTCACGTTTATTCTTCCAACTCAAGCTCCTTCTTTGCTTTATTCATTCTTTTTCAGAAAAATCGACATCCATTTTCAATCCTGCACCAGATTTTCCTCTGCCCCCTCCTTTAGCACTCAGCAAATTTCCTGCAGCTTGAATGTTGCATCTTATGGTAATTTTTGGCAACGAGCAAAAGCTTGCTGGGGGGCAGAGAAGCGGTATCAATTGATATGTGACTTGCTCCCTTGAAGAGGAGGAAGTGGAACAGAAAGAAAAGGAAAATCATGGGGTGTATGTCCTAGGTATTTTCATTTGAAGAGGGTTGTCTATGGAGGAAAAATAATGGCTTCTAACCTGAAAGTTCTCATCTTGAATCTATAAAGACTGAGCTCAAAGTCATCCTCCTTTTTATTTGTTCAATTAATTTTATTTAGAACCAGCTTCCATGGCCACCTATATGCTTTTTGCTTGGCTCCACCTATCCTCCATATTAACAGTTCTATGGGTTCAATAGCTTAAAAGATGGTGACCCACACGGACCATTCAGCTTCATCGCTGAATGAGGAGTTGAATTTAATTCCACTACTTCATGTTGCCTTTCCTTGATTTCTTATTTTAGAATTGTCATTAAAAGAAATGGAGAGGCAGTTTGGTGTAGTGGTTAAGGCGTCAGGCTAGAAACTGGGGGACCATGAGTTCTAGTCCTGCCTGAGGCACAAAACCAGCTGGGTGATCTTGTGCCAGTCAGACTCTCTCAGCCCTAAGAAGCCCAAACCATTTCTGAAATCTTGCCAAGAAAACTGCAGGGACTTGTCCAGGTGGTCTCCAGGAGTCAACATAGACTCAAAGGCCCCAAAACTAAAAAAATAAAAAGTTTGCCATTCAGATGTTTTTTAATATAATTTCTTTCTTGCTTCTAACCATTGAGCATGCTAGCCTGAGCTTAAAGCTTCAACCCTAGTTATCTCTGCAATTAACTTGATGGTTCTGCTTTCCATCCCACTTTTTTTGTTATTCATTTCTGAGACACTCTTGCGACATTAACATGCAGCACTAATCCTAGGATGCAGATAAAAGATTTCACATCAAGAAGCAACATTCCCTCCTTCCTGCTATACACTATTCTGACTTCTTCTTCTGCCTTCTTTCCTCTTTGAGAAGAAACCAGGAAATGGTGCTTCTGCTGCAGTGCTCCAGTGCTGAAATGCTGCTTCTAGTAACCACTGCTTTGTCCTCAGCTTGCCTCTTTCTGCTTGAGAGTCCATCTACATTTGCATTTTCCACTTGGGCACTCCTTAAAAACACAGGTTGCCATCCCCCATCTTACCACAATGACCCTTGGAATTATCCAACTTTTCCTTCTTTCCAACCCCAAGAAAGGAGATCTGCCTACATCAGCCCTCCACCTTTTTTTCCTTCTTCTTATTCTTCTTAATGTGTATTTAAGCTTGGCATTGGCAGTTTTGGTTTGCCTTTGCTTCAATGCTTGCTTGAGGTCATCTCTCACCATGCAAACGGGGATGTTGACATTAAACAGAAGTTTTACAGGTATCAAGCTCTGATTAAAATCACTGTAAATGTTGTTTGTTTTCCCAGCGACAAAACCAGAAGTTGGAAACCTTACCATTTGGGGCATCACCCCAGAAAGCTTCAACCTCTCCTGGACGACCACTAAAGGAGACTTCGAGATCTTTACCTTTGAAATTATTGATTCTAACAGGTTGCTGGAGCCCATGGAATACAACATTTCAGGCAATTTAAGGACTGCTCGTATCTCAGGGCTGTCCCCTCAAACCAATTTCATTATCTACCTCTACGGAGTCACTCGTGGCCTCCGTACTCAGGCGTTAAGCGCAACTGCTACAACAGGTACATTATGATCCTCATATGTTAACATGCATTTTCTTAATTTTCAATCTTCTTTTGCAGCCTTGCCACCCCATGTTTCCTTCTTCTCCTTGAACAAGCTGTTGCTTTCTGATCTAGACCTTCTCACAACAGCTCCTAGCATGGATTTCCATGCAGACTTGAAAAAGTAGCTGTTTTTTTCCGGCTTAAGCTTTGGAAAATGAGAAAACGTAACTGGCAAATGTTATTCATTCCTTCTGATCCATATTGGCAACTTCAGGAGATGTGTGTATGAGTTTTATGATAATATAAAAGCTAGTTAGCTTCCAGAAAGTCTATTTTTAGCTGCGATTGGTTGAGTTTTCAAGTTACCCACTAATGGTTGGTTTTTCTGAGGTGGTCAGTGTGGTGCTGGACTATCTCATTTTGAACTAACTGGAAGGGCTCACATTATAAAATACTACCCTCCACACAAACAGAAATGCAGTTACATCACTGCACATGGACATCTATTATGTTAGGAAAAAGCTTGAGAAACACTTTTTTCCCCAAATAGCTTTCTCTCTGCAATAAGCACTTCAGTACACTTAAAAACATTTAATGGAATTCTGCTTCCAAACACCCTCATTGTTCAGATTTATACCTTTCCTTTTCTCCAGAAGCTCAAAGCTCCTCTGTTTTCTCCCCATGAAGACACTTTTGAGTTAGGATGAGTTAGTGTCTCAGGGAGTTTCCATGAGGATAACTTCTACTGAGGTTTCCTTACTCTGAATTGACACTTAACATCACTCTGATGGTCTTCCCTGTAGATGTAGATGTAGATGTA